TATTTGATAGTTGTTAATAACTTGGGTGCCATGGTGACACACATCTGAACAAGCACACATGACTTCAATATTGGTGCACAAGACAAAACTCACTCCACTCATAAATGGAAAATTTTAGAGGGAACCCTGTTTGCAAGGTCTATATTTACTCTAACATCTCCATATACCCAGTGATATAATTAGTTACATTCTCCACACACACCTTTTTAGACATATTTTATTATAGGTTGGCAGAAGGTTGGCTGACAAAGTTTAAAAATAAACTATCATTCACTAGCTGCCAGGTTTTTTTACATGCTGCGCCACACCTGGAGATATACAACTGTGACTGATTCTGAAGTAAACATTTACCTTGGCACATCCCTTCACAGAAGGAATCACCACAAACTTCTGTGCTCCTGAAGTAATTTGCATCTACAGCCATTTACAAAAAATTTACAAATGATATGCCTGGAGGAGTTACTAATCTTAACCTGCTCAAGACAACATGCCTCGCTTTTGTTTATATCCCACCAGGTAATACCCCTCCAATACTGCCATGTGATCCTTAACATAACACTGATAGAAAGGTTTCTAAGCAATGTCAGCATCACATCTCAAAGAATTTATACATAACAGCATGACCTGATAAGTACCTGTCACCAGCTGATGTTTAGGGGCCTGAGACTCAAAGTCAATGGAAACACTCCAATTATTTCAGTGGCAATTAGATCAGCTCCTATTAGAATTAGTCAAAGCTATCTTCAATTTTTGTTGCCACAGATGGGCAGTGGTATCCTTCCCTATTTCTGGAGAAAATTCTACCTGCTATAATGCAGAAGCCCTTTTAATATGCTTAACAGAAAGGTGCATCTTTACAATACAGCCTTCATGCGGCAAATGAATACAAAAATCCACTGTTTAATTGCTTCTGTTTCAGGACTGATTAATGCAATCTAAACGGCTTCATTCAGCACAGCACACATAATAATTGGTTTAGTCCAACTATGTTTTGATAGTTATTAAATAATGTATTGGAAACCCTGATCCTTTTGTTATGTACTTTGATATGCATCTGGAGAATGTGCCCTCAGATGAACAGTAAAGGCATCTTCTGAGGGAATGCATCAAATCAGCTGCTGGGCTATGAGAATTCTGAAACAATACAGATGTCCACAATTCTTTGGTCTGTTCCAGCCATGCAAAGCAGCCATGATGCCATCTTAACCAGCTCTCTAAGGATTCCCCTTAGCGATGGAGAATCTCTGAGTGGATGTTCCCATAACAGAAGAGCTGTACCCAGGGCAGGCTTAATGCCACCTTTACTCTTCAGACTTCCCCTCACTGGTACTGAGAAGATCTGCGTGCAGATGAGAATCTAGTCCACTATGTGTATATTCTGTGGGATGTAATATTATATGTAATTGTACTTTTAAAGAAAAAAACTATGTCCTTTATGG